CAGTCGGTAGAGGAGACGATCTCCAGGAGAAGACGCATATTTTTTCGATTTTCTTATGTAATTGGGCAATCATTGAATCATGTATGGTACTTATTGCTTCAAATTTACAATTTAGGGATCCATAGAAGCATAGAATTGTAAAGGCCCCTCAATTTCTTAATTACAATTTGTTAAGATTATGTGCTAATCTAAGGAAAACTAAGGTCTTGTTTGGCAGTTGTCGGAAAGAGTTTTAAAAAAGTGTATTTTGGTATTTTTTGTGTTGCAGAACTTGTTTGGTGAATGATTTCAAAAACAGTTCTACGGAATAAAAAATAGTAAAATTGTTTGGACAATAACCTAAAAAACAATGAAAATAAAAATGGGGTGGTGGTGTTGTTGCTGTTGTTGGTGGTAGTTTCGAAATTCTGGAAAAGGATCTTGTTTAGTTTGTATATAAAAATTGTTTTCTGTTTTTGAAAACAGTTTCTGGGAGAAAAGCTGTGAGGCCGGTCGTTTTTTGTTTTTGTTTTTTGGAAATTGAAAACAAAAAGTGGTTAAATTTAGAAAACAAGTTATAACTATTTTGTGATTTTTTGGAAACTTTTTCAGAATTTAAAAAACACCACCACCACACTTCCACCAGCCACCACACCACCACCACCACCACGTCCACCATACCACCACCATCACATCACAATCACACTTCCACTATCACCACATTTCTGTTTTCATTGTTTTTTGGATTGCTGTCCAAACAAGTTTTACTGTTTTATATTCTGTAAAAAGAATCATATAACCAAATAAGTTTTGTGACACAAAAAATATCAAAAATAATTTTCTAAAACTCTTCTCAAAAATAGTTTTCGAATACTATTTTTTGAGACCCAAACCAATCAGGGCAGTTGTTTTTAATAACACACAAAATTGTCTTAACTTGTTCTCTAAATCTATCTACTTTTTGTCCTCAAAAACAGTTGGCCAAATAACTCTTCTCCCAAAAACTATTTCCAAAAATAGAAAAACATTTTTTGAGATGCAAACCAAATAGAGCCTAAAATTTTTGACAAACTCAAAAATTCTAGTTTTGAAAGATTTTGTGCGTTCCAGAAAGATTAGAAGGAATTCTATCAATCTCAACATAAGAAAGCTGCTGAAAAGTGTCCTAACACTGACTTAGTAATACTTCCATTTAAACTGGAAAATGTTGATATTTGCTTGTTAGTTTAAAGCTGAAGGTAGTAAAAGGTTTTGAAGCAAAAAACTGGTCTTAGCTCAAAACTCACTTCTGTCCCTCTCAAGTCTTGATCGATGACCTGCATCCAAATACTCTCAGAAGTTTTCCTTCACAATAAGCAAATGCATGTGGCTTCCTTGTGCTTTTAGGGTACCTGAGGACTCTNCATTAAAGCAGGTCATATAATGACCTAAAACCCACTTGATCCATATTAAGACCCATGCACTAGAAAAAAAATCCACCTAAAGTACTGTTGGCCTTTGTTAATGTGAATAACNTGCATCCAAATACTCTCAGAAGTTTTCCTTCACAATAAGCAAATGCATGTGGCTTCCTTGTGCTTTTAGGGTACCTGAGGACTCTACAGCAGAATCCCCAAAAAAGTCCCTGAAATATTTGGTAGGTATAGAAATATCTTTTATTCTTCTGTTTTTTGGAAGATCTGGCCATCATGTTGTTCCTANACAGTATACCACCAGCTTATTGAATATTGACTTATTACTAACACTTTATTCATTTTAAGACTGATGGACTGTAACAACAATCAATGTCCTTCAACTCTAGAAGTTACCATCGTACCCTTGTACTTTATAACTTCTAAACATTAATGAAATTATACCACTAGCAATGCCGAACACAGGGGTGGGGGCATTAGGGGCACCAGTTCTTACTCCAGTTTAAGAAGTTTGAGGGTTTTTTTTTTTTAAATTTTGATAAATTTAAATTTTTGTTCATTTTCTTGACTTCTCTGTGGGCTTCTGTGTCAAAGTAATTTGACGATATTCATTTTTTTTGCATTACCTCTAGTTGGAAAGGATTATGTGGAATGTAGTTTTGTTTTCTTTGCGTATAATTTTCTTTTTTGATTTGTCTTTGGTTTGGAATACTGGTCCACTATTGACTAACTTTTGGAATCTTTTATATTATTAATGATATTATTGTTTACTATCAAAAAACAAGAAATTTAAATTTTTGAGGAGTTTGCCACCATTTGAAAAGTATGAAAAAATTTCTGGTATTGTATTATAGAAAATATAAAGGTTTGATGATCAAATTCCAACAGTAGTGATTAATATTGACATATTTGATTTGTTCCAAATACGAAATAATTTGGAATTTGATATTTTTGACCAATTATTTGACTCCGAATTTGAATATGGTCTATCATATTTCTCGGATTCAGGTTTGTATATACCAAAATTTAATCCAATTGTTATCAATCAATGCATATATACAATTTTGTGATCAAATGTTCAATTTTCATTAGATTTTGATCTGGACTAAAAAAATTAAATTTCTTGGATAATTGGATGAGATTCAAATTGGATTTGATTAAAAAATCAATCTAAATCCTACTATTGACAAGTTTGCTCACCATTTGCTTGGGAGTCTCAATGAGTTTTGATGATTGTCGTGATGGTTCTCTTCACCCTAATGGTTGCCCAGCTATGGAGAAATCCAACTGGTGTATTGACCTAGTACGAACAAAAAATAAGACTTCAGCTAATGTTGAACTTACCTTAATGCCATTGTGTTGGTTTTCTAGAATTGAGTGAAAAAATTCGCATTTGTCCCTTTTCTTGTTTACGTGCTCATAATTTTCTCGTGGTTCCAAGGTTGTGACCCTTTTGGTTTTTCTGTGTTTTTGATACCTGCCAATATTTGTAAATCAATGAACAATAGGATATAATTGTGTGAAAAATATTGGTTTGTTTAGATTGCATCTCAGAAAATAATATCTGAAAACATGTTCTTTAGAAAAGTGTGTTCTGGTATTTTTGTATCGAAAAACTTTNGAAAAGTTTTAGAAAAGTGTGTTATGGTATTTTTGTATCGAAAAACTTGTTTGGTTATATGATTTCAAAAATAATTTTACTGAACAGAAAACAGTAAAATTTCTTTGAATCGAGTGTTTTATATAATGTTTTTTAATATATTAAACTTTGGTAAAATAAAAAAAAATATAAAAAGGAGAAGAGATTTTCTGCCGTCGAAAAAAATTCTAGATTTGAAGTTGTCATAGCAACCATTAATGGAGGCTGACCCCAATGCTCAACTTGTGTTGGTTGTGGCCACGTGACCAATGGTCCAATAGATTGAACAGTAAAGGATGATCTAGATTTGAAAAAAATCTAGATCTAAAAAAAAAAAAAAATTAGATCTGAAGCAATTTGCCGGAGAGCTCTCAGTCGGTAGAGGAGACGATCTCCAGGAGAAGACGCATATTTTTTCGATTTTCTTATGTAATTGGGCAATCATTGAATCATGTATGGTACTTATTGCTTCAAATTTACAATTTAGGGATCCATAGAAGCATAGAATTGTAAAGGCCCCTCAATTTCTTAATTACAATTTGTTAAGATTATGTGCTAATCTAAGGAAAACTAAGGTCTTGTTTGGCAGTTGTCGGAAAGAGTTTTAAAAAAGTGTATTTTGGTATTTTTTGTGTCGCAGAACTTGTTTGGTGAATGATTTCAAAAACAGTTCTACGGAATAAAAAATAGTAAAATTGTTTGGACAATAACCTAAAAAACAATGAAAATAAAAATGGGGTGGTGGTGTTGTTGCTGTTGTTGGTGGTAGTTTCGAAATTCTGGAAAAGGATCTTGTTTAGTTTGTATATAAAAATTGTTTTCTGTTTTTGAAAACAGTTTCTGGGAGAAAAGCTGTGAGGCCGGTCGTTTTTTGTTTTTGTTTTTTGGAAATTGAAAACAAAAAGTGGTTAAATTTAGAAAACAAGTTATAACTATTTTGTGATTTTTTGGAAACTTTTTCAGAATTTAAAAAACACCACCACCACACTTCCACCAGCCACCACACCACCACCACCACCACGTCCACCATACCACCACCATCACATCACAATCACACTTCCACTATCACCACATTTCTGTTTTCATTGTTTTTTGGATTGCTGTCCAAACAAGTTTTACTGTTTTATATTCTGTAAAAAGAATCATATAACCAAATAAGTTTTGTGACACAAAAAATATCAAAAATAATTTTCTAAAACTCTTCTCAAAAATAGTTTTCGAATACTATTTTTTGAGACCCAAACCAATCAGGGCAGTTGTTTTTAATAACACACAAAATTGTCTTAACTTGTTCTCTAAATCTATCTACTTTTTGTCCTCAAAAACAGTTGGCCAAATAACTCTTCTCCCAAAAACTATTTCCAAAAATAGAAAAACATTTTTTGAGATGCAAACCAAATAGAGCCTAAAATTTTTGACAAACTCAAAAATTCTAGTTTTGAAAGATTTTGTGCGTTCCAGAAAGATTAGAAGGAATTCTATCAATCTCAACATACGAAAGCTGCTGAAAAGTGTCCTAACACTGACTTAGTAATACTTCCACTTAAACTGGAAAATGTTGATATTTGCTTGTTAGTTTAAAGCTGAAGGTAGTAAAAGGTTTTGAAGCAAAAAACTGGTCTTAGCTCAAAACTCACTTCTGTCCCTCTCAAGTCTTGATCGATGACCTGCATCCAAATACTCTCAGAAGTTTTCCTTCACAATAAGCAAATGCATGTGGCTTCCTTGTGCTTTTAGGGTACCTGAGGACTCTACAGCAGAATCCCCAAAAAAGTCCCTGAAATATTTGGTAGGTATAGAAATATCTTTTATTCTTCTGTTTTTTGGAAGATCTGGCCATCATGTTGTTCCTATTGATCGCCCTGAAGTCAAATGTATTCATTAATTTTTTAGGGTATGTTGCAGTAGATCCTTTGGCTAATATAGTTCTGTGCAGAATATCCTATAGAACTCATTTTTTTTTTTGTTGAATGACTTGCAACTGTTCCTTATTCTGCCTGTCTTTTCTTGACCTTTTTTCGGTTCTTTCAGGGAAAAGCAAAAGGGGAGAGCTGAGTATCTTTCCAAAATCAGTTGTAGTTTTATCCCATTGTCTTCATATGATGCCCAGGCAAAAAGTTGCTGCTGGTTCAGAAAATGCCAGTGTGAAGGTGAACATATTTTGTTTGTTGACAGATTTAATGCTGACTGGATTCTTTGTTGACATGAAAACATCTTCTCTGTGCAGAAAACTGATTTGTGGCTTCCAGGAAGGGGCAGAAATCCTGGAACTTATATACTAAAAGATCAGGTATGAAATAATATTCCAGCAATTACTTCAGTTATCGTCGTTGTGCTCTCTCTCTCTCTCTCTCTATTTTCTTGTTGTGGCTAATGAAGTTATGTCTTTAATGCTAGGAAACTCGATATCGTCAACGTTACTTGGATTTGATGTTGAACTTGGAGGTTCGACAAATATTCAAGACCCGGGCAAAGATTATTTCTTTTATTAGAAGGTTTCTTGATAATCTTGATTTCTTGGAGGTAAGTTATTTATCCAATTTTTTTCTATGATTTGTATACAACGCTGCCATAGCCCATGTCGGTGCGAGCTTGGAAACATATGTCCAGGTCATCGTTTAGAAGTGCTTTGGCTATAGGGTAATTATCTAGTTTGGTCCCTTATTAATCTTGGGTGTGTGTTAGGTTGGTTGATTGGAGGTAGACCTAACCTTTGGCATTTTTGGCTCAATAGCCTCTAATCCGAACTCATAACTCTTTAAGTTCTACAGTTTAACACTTCGAGTTCTTTGGTTGCTTGCAACTTTTGGATACGTTGTTTGTAGTGGCAAAGACATTCCCTTTCTAAAGGCTTTCAAACCTTTTTAATGAAGGGTCAAAGGGGCATTTGAAAAATCCCAATTTGGAAAAAAAAAAAAAAAGTGACAGGTGATTATCGTCTTCAGTTTTCTGCTCTTAGGATCCTCACTCGAGGAGGAAGAGGAGAGTCAGTTTGATGGTGGAAAGAAGGGACGCCTTTTGAGGGCCCAATCTTTTCTTGTTGGAGACCATAGATCCTGCTGCATGAAAACCATAATAGTATGCGAAGAAGAGTTGCACCAGAGAGGGAGGTCCTCGATCTTTCTACTCCTATTGAGCTTTCCTTGGCTACTGTCACTAGAACTCCTTTTTGAACAGTGCTCATTTGTTTGAATTTTGAAATGAGTGGCTAAAGACTGATTTTACCAGCTGATCTGTTTTTTTTGTCACTTGAGACTTTTACTTTAGAGTAGCCTGACTTTATTTATTTATTTATTTTTGCACACATGAATTCCCAAAGAATTTGCAAATTGGCCAACCAGCTATCAAAATTTATAAAGCAGCCAATCTGACTTATTTACTGAGAGAATCAAAAATTGGATTCTTCTGATGTGTTGGACCTCCTTGTGTATGTTGACTCTTGTGCCCGTGTTACAAATCAAAGTTTCTATTGGTTGAGCTAATTGTCTTGATGGCATTAGTTTTTTTTCTAGCTTAGCTTCATTTTCTTTCTCTTGCTGATTATGATATTTTCTCACCCCAAGGTTGAGACACCCATGATGAACATGATTGCTGGGGGAGCAGCTGCCCGTCCATTTGTGACCCATCACAATGATTTGAATATGAAGCTGTTCATGCGCATTGCACCTGAACTATACCTTAAGGAGCTAGTTGTTGGTGGGCTGGACCGTGTGTATGAGATAGGAAAACAGTTCAGGAATGAAGGGATTGACTTGACTCATAATCCTGAGTTCACTACATGCGAGTTTTATATGGCTTTTGCAGACTACAATGACTTGATGGAGCTAACTGAAAAAATGTTGAGTGGTGAGTGGCAAATTTGAGATGCAAACATGCATAACCTTTTATGTGAGTTTAATTTTTTTGTCAAGAATGTTAATCTCCAGGTTTTTGACGAAGTTAAATTTGAACAGGGATGGTCAAAGAACTTACAGGTGGCTATAAAATTGAATATCATGCGAATGGTTTGGAGAATGATATAATTGAGATTGACTTCACTCCCCCTTTCAGGTCTCTGGATTGAACTGTTGTCCATGTCATTTTTCCCTTAACGCGTAGGGAAAGATTGTCATATAGAAAAACTTATATATGCCTTTTATATTTTTGCAGGAGGATTGATATGATAGAAGAGTTGGAGAAGATGGCAAATCTCAGCATACCCAAGGATCTCTCGAGTGATGAAGCTAACAAGTATTTGGTCGACGCATGTGCAAAGTTTGATATCAAATGCCCCCCTCCGCAGACAACAACTCGTTTGTTGGACAAAGTAAATTCACTGATCTCTGTTCCATCCCTATGCTAAAAACCATTCTCATTGCAAGATATCAGGAACAAAAATGTTAAAATTTAGCGTTTAGCCTGCTCGTTAATCTTTGTTGGAATCTTCTAGTCGTGGTGGTTTTGAGTTTATATTCAGTTGTTTCGGTATTGCCCAGTTTCTGAGGAAAGCGCCCAGGTGGCTGCCTCGGACCCCCAGAGGAGCACTCAAAAACTTACGTCACCAACATTATGGGCATCCTGCTGACTGTTGCCTATGTGCTTTAGGTCACTTGTATTGCTCAGGTGCTTGCACTGGCATCAAGGTGGGGTCACCCGGAAGTTTGTAACACCTTAAGAGGATATGGGACAGAGATACGACACAACACAACACGGACATTCCGACACGAAATTTTTCAAAAAAGTAGAACATGGACACGTTAGTAATTCGTTAAATAATATGTGTGTATATATATATATATATATGNAACAGGGATGGTCAAAGAACTTACAGGTGGCTATAAAATTGAATATCATGCGAATGGTTTGGAGAATGATATAATTGAGATTGACTTCACTCCCCCTTTCAGGTCTCTGGATTGANGTTAATCTCCAGGTTTTTGACGAAGTTAAATTTGAACAGGGATGGTCAAAGAACTTACAGGTGGCTATAAAATTGAATATCATGCGAATGGGTTGGAGAATGATATAATTGAGATTGACTTCACTCCCCCTTTCAGGTCTCTGGATTGAACTGTTGTCCATGTCATTTTTCCCTTAACGCGTAGGGAAAGATTGTCATATAGAAAAACTTATATATGCCTTTTATATTTTTGCAGGAGGATTGATATGATAGAAGAGTTGGAGAAGATGGCAAATCTCAGCATACCCAAGGATCTCTCGAGTGATGAAGCTAACAAGTATTTGGTCGACGCATGTGCAAAGTTTGATATCAAATGCCCCCCTCCGCAGACAACAACTCGTTTGTTGGACAAAGTAAATTCACTGATCTCTGTTCCATCCCTATGCTAAAAACCATTCTCATTGCAAGATATCAGGAACAAAAATGTTAAAATTTAGCGTTTAGCCTGCTCGTTAATCTTTGTTGGAATCTTCTAGTCGTGGTGGTTTTGAGTTTATATTCAGTTGTTTCGGTATTGCCCAGTTTCTGAGGAAAGCGCCCAGGTGGCTGCCTCGGACCCCCAGAGGAGCACTCAAAAACTTACGTCACCAACATTATGGGCATCCTGCTGACTGTTGCCTATGTGCTTTAGGTCACTTGTATTGCTCAGGTGGTTGCACTGGCATCAAGGTGGGGTCACCCGGAAGTTTGTAACACCTTAAGAGGATATGGGACAGAGATACGACACAACACGACACGGACATTCCGACACGAAATTTTTCAAAAAAGTAGAACATGGACACGTTAATAATTCGTTAAATAATATGTGTGTGTGTGTATATATATATATATATAATCTAATCATGTGATAAAATAAAAATATTATCATGATAATCTTTTAATTCATCATTTACCTAATTCTAAAAATTCACAACATTCATGATCCAACAATTAGTGACTACTATAACTTTTATTTTAAAAAATATTCCACTTTAACATTAATTTTCATCAATTTTCAAGAGTCCTATTTTTGTTACCACATTTTTTTTTCTCCCATTACTTTCATATGATTATGATTGTTACTCATATTCCTTTAAAATTACAAAAATGACTTTTAATTATAAAATTATTTGAAAAGTTCTCAAAAAATTAGAAATAAATTTCAAAACATGTCCTCACTACGTATCCTGAGCATGTCCCAACGTGTCTTGAAAAAAATTTAACAATAAAAAAATCGGACACTCATTTTAATGTGTCCAAAGCGTGTCCATGTCTTAGACATGTCTGACATTGACACTTTGTCCAAAGTGAAGTGTCCCTCTTCCTAGGTAACTCCTATGGAGTGAAGGAAATGGCACTCTTTTCCGTGCACAAAGAGTGCCGTTGTAGTGCTTTTTATTTGATATCATAGTCTTAGTGGATGGTAGATTGTTTCCTCTCTTTTGTTTTCCTTATCTTTTCTTTTTTATAAATACTGCACCTGCACCCATGTCCATAGGGATACTTCGCAAGCTATTACTCATCTGATGGCTGATGGCTGATGGCTGATGGATTTTAGTAAATCGTTATGGTAGTTTCTGACTGACTGATTGTTGATTCTGCAGTAGCAGTAACAAAAACTTAAAAGAGTTGTAGCTCAATTATGGGGAAGGCTTGTCTATCAGTTAATGTTGACGAGTGGATGTCTGCTGGGGATTAATTATCATGTGTTCCACTTCTACCTTTGTCCCCCTTTCATGCCAGGACTCCTTGTCATTGTAGAATAAAAGAAGGGATTCAGGGGGATGAGGGATAGATTCTGATATGTGAGGTCGATGTGTGGTTTGACTAGCCTTCATTTCAGTACTTTTTTTGTGAAACTAGAGTCTTAACTACATTTTCATACGATTTGTAATTTATAATAATGCCTTCTTATTAAGCTATATTCTTAAAAGGTATATGTGTTCTGAAAATGTTTTCAGCATGTTTTGGTGTTTGGTTGCTTGGATATATTCTACAGATCCTGTGTTTTGTCCTCCGTACATCAATTTTCCAATCAATGGTTGCAACTTATGTCCTAATAGCAAACATCTATGTATAAAAAACTTACACGCACATGGCCACCAAGTCTAAAGCATGATACAAAATTATTTATGTGCATTCACCTCTGTGTGTGTGCACGTTTGTAAACTTATATACGTTCATAACATACACATAAAAAATGGTCAGAGTATTAAATTGTATGTAGTAGTTATAGAGTAAACTCCCTGCAAAAACAAAGTTATGAAAGTGAATTGTTTTTCTTTTTGTTGTTATTTTGTTTCTTTTACGTAAGTTATGAATTTATCTTGGAACAAAACATTCTTCTCTCTTTTGGCTAAATTCAAATTATGAAGCTTTTGCCTTGCGATCACAGATTTACAGTTTATAATTTCTACTGGCTATGTTTCTTTTAATTTGGACTCATGACCGAAGCTAACTTTGTTTATGATTAATGACATTTCTTTGAGGGCAGCTAGTGGGCCACTTTCTGGAGGAGACATGTGTAAATCCTGCTTTCATCATTAACCATCCAGAGATAATGAGTCCGTTGGCAAAGTGGCATAGGGCAAAACCAGGCTTGACGGAACGTTTCGAGTTGTTTATCAACAAGCATGAAGTATGTGATGCCAAAGAAAGAATTCTAGTTCTAAATATTTTATTTCATGCCTAGTATACGGGCTTTAATGTGTGTTTCTTTCCATTTTTTTGTGTAATTGGACAGGTTTGCAATGCATACACTGAATTGAATGATCCTGTGGTGCAACGCCAGCGTTTTGCTGATCAACTCAAGGTATCACAAATAATGAGGAAGTGTGCCATAGTTGTTTCCTGCTTATTTGCATTATTTTTCTTCTTAAAAAATTATAGCCAGTCTAATAGCATCAACATTTTAACCATCTTTAACCAGTGGTTTACTCTGGTGAACAATTTCAGGACCGGCAATCAGGCGATGATGAAGCAATGGCTTTGGATGAGACATTCTGTACATCCCTTGAATATGGGTTGCCTCCAACTGGTGGTTGGGGATTGGGTATAGATCGCCTTTGTATGTTGTTGACAGATTCACAGAACATCAAGGTCTGTATGTTTCTTTGTTAACTTTTTCTTTGCGTTGGGGGGGCTGTAGGGGTATGCATATGTGGTTAGTTTCCCTTTGTTTCATGAACTTTCTTTCTGCGTCTAACTCCTCTTTATTTTCTCCTCTTGGAATCACAATATTTTAACAAAATATTCCACCATACCTGTTCATTTACGGTTTTATGTTGTTGGATAAACAGGAAGTTCTTCTCTTTCCAGCCATGAAACCACAGGATGAACATTCTACTAAAGGTACAGACTTTAATATCTTGTACTTTGTTTCCTGGTTGTGTATACTGATTCTTCCAAGCTGCCATGAAGTGGCAGCGTCCTAACAATGTGTTAACATATACAACTGGTATTATTCTCGTTGGTCGTTTCTGGTTTCTTTTTGGCCATAAAACCTCTGGAACCTTCCANTCATTGTAGGTCTGCGCTTCTCTAGTTTTATGTTCTCTGTTCTCAAAAAGTTGCCCTTTAGCATGCCCGAGCTACTGTCAAAGGCACAAAAGTACATGAATGCCAAGGACTTCCCCAAGGCTCATCGAGANTTTTTGGCCATAAAACCTCTGGAACCTTCCGCAAGAGGTACACCACAATTTGTCTTGGCTGCATGTCCTGTTTTAGTCTAATTGTGATGGTAGACAAGTTCAATAACTGTAGGACAGTTTTGGTCTGCCACCAACANACAAAAGAAAGAGAACCGAGAGAGTCTCTGTCAAGGAACGTCTCAGTCTCGTACCCCAGAGAGAACAACAACCTTTCACACCACTCAACATTTCGGTGGAGCACATCATGTTCCAGATATAGGATAACCCCACGCTCTTCTGGCCTAAAAAAAATGAAGTCCACACCGAATCGCAGAAATCNCACATCTCAATAAATACCTATGAAAATACCATGTCCAAGTAAAGAACTTCTGCGATATAAAAATTAACTTCCTCTAAAGAAAAAGATGCAAGGAGGTGTAGAGGANGTCCTGTTTTAGTCTAATTGTGATGGTAGACAAGTTCAATAACTGTAGGACAGTTTTGGTCTGCCACCAACACATCTCAATAAATACCTATGAAAATACCATGTCCAAGTAAAGAACTTCTGCGATACAAAAATTAACTTCCTCTAAAGAAAAAGATGCAAGGAGGTGTAGAGGGNTGCAATGCATACACTGAATTGAATGATCCTGTGGTGCAACGCCAGCGTTTTGCTGATCAACTCAAGGTATCACAAATAATGAGGAAGTGTGCCATAGTTGTTTCCTGCTTATTTGCATTATTTTTCTTCTTAAAAAATTATAGCCAGTCTAATAGCATCAACATTTTAACCATCTTTAACCAGTGGTTTACTCTGGTGAACAATTTCAGGACCGGCAATCAGGCGATGATGAAGCAATGGCTTTGGATGAGACATTCTGTACATCCCTTGAATATGGGTTGCCTCCAACTGGTGGTTGGGGATTGGGTATAGATCGCCTTTGTATGTTGTTGACAGATTCACAGAACATCAAGGTCTGTATGTTTCTTTGTTAACTTTTTCTTTGCGTTGGGGGGGCTGTAGGGGTATGCATATGTGGTTAGTTTCCCTTTGTTTCATGAACTTTCTTTCTGCGTCTAACTCCTCTTTATTTTCTCCTCTTGGAATCACAATATTTTAACAAAATATTCCACCATACCTGTTCATTTACGGTTTTATGTTGTTGGATAAACAGGAAGTTCTTCTCTTTCCAGCCATGAAACCACAGGATGAACATTCTACTAAAGGTACAGACTTTAATATCTTGTACTTTGTTTCCTGGTTGTGTATACTGATTCTTCCAAGCTGCCATGAAGTGGCAGTGTCCTAACAATGTGTTAACATATACAACTGGTATTATTCTCGTTGGTCTTTTCTGGTTTCTTTTTGGCCATAAAACCTCTGGAACCTTCCGCAAGAGGTACACCACAATTTGTCTTGGCTGCATGTCCTGTTTTAGTCTAATTGTGATGGTAGACAAGTTCAATAACTGTAGGACAGTTTTGGTCTGCCACCAACACATCTCAATAAATACCTATGAAAATACCATGTCCAAGTAAAGAACTTCTGCGATACAAAAATTAACTTCCTCTAAAGAAAAAGATGCAAGGAGGTGTAGAGGGCTTGCATAAAGTGTCCACCCTGGTATGTGTTTATATATATCCGAACCCCATATTTTCAGCTTGTTTCTTGTCTCCAAACTCACCCTAATCCGTCTTATGCTCGATCCTACTATGGCTTATCCATTTTTACATCCATAAAACATGATATAAATCACTCATGGGGCATTAAAGATCATTTCTCAATGATCCCTAGACATACCTACTTTTTTAAACCCTATAGCATACGCAGTACAAGCTCATAACTGCATCAACTTAACTGTCATATAAAACTAAAGCTTAAGCTTAGTTTTTGCGCTCCCTACCTCTTGCAAACTCTACCAAATTGGACTTAACATGTTGAAGTCATATAGTTCATGCTTTGTGCCAAGTAGACTCTGGATATAAGGTGCATAACTCATGCCAAGCTACATGAAACCATGCTTCTTACACCAAATAACAACTTAAGCCATATACCGACCGCGCATGAGCTTCAGGTTTAAAATTCAAGGAAAGTAGACATGTTCCAACCAATAAAAAGGATATTCTTCAAGTAAAATCAAGTTCCAATTCAATTCTTTTTTGAAAACTTGCTTTAGAACACCAAGCTAGAATTTTGAAGCTGAAAGAAAAGTAGGGTTTGAAAAATAAGAGGAAATAGTGAGGAAGACAAGGGAAGTGCTAAGTTTGTCTGTAATCAATTAAAGCAGTTTTCAAACCAATGATATTGATATGTATCAGCATTTTTATTTACAAATAATTGCACTATACTCCATAAATCATTAAGTGTTACTTTTACCTTGAAACTTTCTAGTAAGATTTCACTTTTAACCCACAACATTTGTAGCTCAACTATCTATATTTTATTCTTCCATTCTAAAAAGAATTTTACATAGAAATACATTACCCTTGCTGAAACAAGTGATGTTACTCCCTCCTAATGTCTTCCTCTCCCATGTGGCTTGTTCCTCTGAATGACTTCGCCGCAACATTGGTGCACAACACTTCAACATGGAACATATCTTTCCTCAACTCAATAGGTTGTGATATTGAAACATGAGACTGGATCAGACTGATACTTCTTGAGCATTGACGTATCAAAATATATCATGAAATTTAAACAATTTTGGTAGTTGGGATATGGGCTAGTATTATACAAATTCCAGAACGTATACTCTTTTCGCCATTTCTCAGGTATTTTTGGTTACCATTGTTTGTAATGATGACACTATTGGCCATCTGATTTGATTACTTGGCAAATGCAGCTGATCAATGATTGAAAGATCATCAAATTTGATTGAGGTGGGATGCTGGTCAACTTTTGGTCAGAAATTCTTATGCTATGAATAGTGGGGACGCATATTTGGTCATATACTAGTTGCTATTTGTCACCTATGTTTTGTGCTCCGGTGTTAAGCTGCTTACACTTTAAACTTGCTATAGCATTTAATACCCAAATTCTTCTCAAATGAAAATCTCGTTGTTTAACTTTAGGTCAAATCTTATGTAGAGCAAGTTTGGAACTGTGTGTGTGTGCCAGCTGTCCTCGTCACAATGCTTCCAAGTTATTATTGCGAGCTTTTCCTGTGGGGTGGAGGGACATGATCTGTTCACCTTGTTGATAGCAACAGCCCCACAGAAAAAAAAAAAAAAAAGGTTCAGCTTGATAGGCCAGGCAAAGGATGGAAGTTTGACCTGATTCTGATTAGTTTTAATAGTGTCTGGATTGATATTTCTGATTGATTGATTGTATTATTTTTTTTTTAAATCAAGGATTGATTATATTAATTCAGTATACCAATTATAATAGGTTTTGATATGGGCTAATTTCTGATCCAAATTTGGTATGCATATGGATAAATGTGTTAGAACATTGGGTAATTATTTAATGAAATTGATTGGAAATTTAAATTTAATATGGTAAACTTTAGTTTTAGTTAATTTGGTAGGATTAGATTGGATTTTTGACTTCCATCAAATTCGAATAAAATTTGTTGGATATTTAGGTCTAATTTGAATAGATTGAAGTCCGATGTGTCTACCTTTCGGTCAGCCTAAAAAAAATAAAATAAAGAAAGGGAGGTAATGAAGTGTTGAACTTCTTGTCTAATTGGGCCATTATGCCTGGGACTGGTGTGATTCAACCTTTAGCTTGCTCTATTCAATGATGGTGAGTATGAAGCTCAACGGAGATAGTTTTTCTAGTATATAAAAAGGTCTTCCTTGTTTTAAAAATTTTGTATGCGGTGGGGCTGGACAGTTGTATATTTATTATTTATTTTTCACTCATGATTTCAGCTTAAATTTGAGCTATTATAGATACATCAGTATTAAAAGAAACAGCTGTGTGAGAGAGAGAAAAGAAACCAATTTAGGCAGCCATGGAATCGACGGTTCGAAGAAGCGGAGGAGGACTTCTTGAAAGTCTGTATAGAGTCGTCATGCGACGGAAGAAATAGCAAGAAATCTTGAGCGCTGATCTGATAGAGTGGGATAAGGCGATTGATGATGGGTGGTGACCGTGAGAGTGAAATTAGGAAGAAGGTGAGGGAGATGAGAGAGAAAGATAGGATGGCCATGGCGGAGGGTGGGTCATTGTACACTACAAAAGGAAGATTGATTGAGGAGGTCATGAACAACATTGCCTGAATAAGACACAGAAACGTATTATATGGATGAGAAATGTAGATTTGTTTCATATTACTTGCACTCCATCGTCACAGTTGCTGGGTTTAAGGGCTCTTCATCTTTCCCCATTTTCTTCTTTAATTTCTTGATGTTGGTGGCTTCTTAGGTAACTGTCATAACTATTTATGTACCTATCTTACGGTTTAGCGTATCTATGTGACGATCTGTATTTTAGTGTACCTGCCTGACGATCTGTGTTTATGGAAAAAAAATATACTATTTTTTTAGTGTATTTGTCTAATGATTTGTGTTTATAGAAATTAATATACATTATAATGATATAGTTTTTTAGAATATGTGTTTCAATTAGGTGATAACATTATTGTTATTTTTGTAAATTTTAAAGGGTGTTAATTATGTCTATTACTTTGACTTTTCAACAGGGACCTAATCCAAAAAAAAATTGACTGAGTGAGTTTTTTTTGGAAGTAAAAATTGGGGGTTAGTCGTCGTTAAAGAACTTACAATGAGTTTAGTTCGTCAAGAAAATTTATTTGAATATAAGTCCGTTTTTAATTTTACTAATAAGTAATTAAGTCCACTATTTTTTTAAAATTCAAAATATACTTCATTGAAAGCAACTTTAAATCAGTTTCCTAACTTGTGAATTATTATTCCTTAATTTACTATCAATGAAGATATTCTAATAAATTTTTTTACATAAATTTTAAATTCAAATTTAAAGAACCACTGATACTCTCTCTCTCTCTCTTTCTCTCTTTCTCTATATATATATGCATATCTATATAATAAAATAACTCATACTTTAAATTTTATTTTAGTCATTTTTTTCCTCTCAAAATTATCACCAATCACTTACCTCACCCATTATTCCTCTGTCAGACTCAAACGCCAAGTCGCCTTTCTTCATCTCTCTTTTTTTTTTTTTTTTTTCCTTTTTCTCTTTTCCTCCTCACTTTCTCTCTCTCTATCTCTCTCTCACCAGTGCCAGCGACATAGCCAGAGCCATTGCCACTGCCACTACCATTGTGCCACAACCTTCCTCTTCTTTCCCTACCAGGTATCCCTTTTATCGTCTTCTTTCTCTTACAAGCCCCTAGCCTCCAGCTCTCCCCTTCTACGAACACTGCCCCCCACCCAAACTTTCCCCTTTTTGGGCCTGACCCCCTCTTTTTATACGCCCTTTGCGCAACCCACCCCATACACACACAAACAAAAACGGAACACACACCCACACATTCATAGGTTCTTTCTCTCTTAGCCTACCAGTGCCACCATCACCAGTAAAGCACCACCATCACAATCACAATGTGTATGATAAGTCTCTCATGCAACTCCACAATGTGCCTGATGAGATCATTTGTAGAGCCTTTCCCACCATCTTGAAGGGGTCTGCTCGACAATGGTTCACAAAGATCAAACCCTCTTCTATCCACTCATTCGCGGAGCTGAGTAAATCTTTCGTCTCCCACTTTATTGGGGGACGCCGACATTAGATGCCTGTTACCCACCTGCTCACCATTAAGTAGGACCGGGATGAAAGTCTTAGAAGCTACCTTACTCGTTTCAATGAGGAGGCTCTCCAGATTGAGGAGCCAGATGACAAGGTAGCCCTGACCGCCTTCATTGTAGGTCTGCGCTTCTCTAGTTTTATGTTCTCTGTTCTCAAAAAGTTGCCCTTTAGCATGCCCGAGCTACTGTCAAAGGCACAAAAGTACATGAATGCCAAGGACTTCCCCAAGGCTCATCGAGATGAGTCCTCCCAAGGAGGGGAAAAAAGGAAGGACACCCGCGAAGACAAGCAAGAAGTGGAGAACAAAAGAAAGAGAACCGAGAGAGTCTCTGTCAAGGAACGTCTCAGTCTCGTACCCCAGAGAGAACAACAGCCTTTCACACCACTCAACATTTCGGTGGAGCACATCCTGTTCCAGATATAGGATAACCCCACGCTCTTCTGGCCTAAAAAAAATGAAGTCCACACCGAATCGCAAAAATTCAAGCAAGTATTTTCGTTTTCACCGTGACCATGGCCACGACACCGACGACTGCTTCGAGCTAAAGAGGCAAGTCGAGGAGCTTATTCAGCGTGGTCAGTTACGACAGTATGTTGTTGGCCGAGAACTGGTTCCACCACCAGGCCAAAATCTGGAGGATTGCCAGCAACCCCTTGGAGAGATCTAGACTATCTTTGGAGGTTTAGGAGGAAGAGGTGACTCCAACTCTGCTAAAAAAATGCACACCTAGAAAGCCAGACAGATAGAGTCATATGATTCTCGCCCGATAAAGACACCCCGACATGGGGATGAAGAGGTCATCACCTTCTCGGATAGGGATCTCGAGGGGATCCAAGTCCCTCATGATGATCGTCTAGTCTTAACCTTGATGGTAGCCAACTACCAGGTTAATAGAATTCTGGTCGATAGCGACAGCTCAGTCGATATTCTATTTGCACCAGCCTTTGGCATCCTCTATCTAGGTAGGGAGAGATTGTAACTCGTCAGGACTCCCCTTGTTGGCTTCTTGGGGGAAGGGTTTATCCCTGGGTTCCATCATGTTGCTGATCACAGAAGGGCAGTGCTATCCACCTACCACCTTCTCCTCTGTTTCGCAACCACCAGTGGGATTGGAGAGACTAGAGGAGACCAGGTTTTTGCCCGGGAATGCTATGTGGCCTCTATGAGAGCTAGAATGTCACACGAGACTCTCCAAGTCGAAGTAATTGACCCAAGGGATGACAACACTTTGAAGAGAGGGGAACCAGTAGAAGAACTTCGGCTAGTAGTGGTGGATGAGAGCCTTCTAGAGAGGAGAGTCCATATAGGTTCCTCACTTTCCCAACTGCAAGCATTCGACCTGGTAAACTTCTTCAGGTAAAACACAGATCTCTTCGCCTGGTCCTAGGAAGATCTGGAGGGCATCGACCCCGAAGTGGCCTCCCACCGACTCAACGTTGATCCTAGGTACAAACTCGTCTGCCAGAAGCTGAGGAATGTGAGTACTGAGAGAGGCCAAGCCATGGAAACCGAAGTGGAGAAACTACTAAAAAATGGTTTAGTAAGAAAGATAGCCTACCTAGACTAGCTATCCAACGTAGTGATGGTTACGAAGGTCAATGGGAAGTGGTGCCTCTACGTGGACTTCACAGAGTTTAATAAAGCCTGCCCCAAAGACAGCTATCCTCTCCCATGCATTGATCTCCTTATTGATGCCACCACAGGACACGAGCTCCTGAGTTTTTTGGCTGCTTACTCCGGGTACAACCAAATCAGCATAGTCCCTTCAAACCAGGAGAAAACTTCATTTATCACCCTGACGGGCACCTATTGTTATAGGGTGATGCCCTTTGGATTCAAGAATACCGAAGCCACATATCAGCGTCTCGTGAACATGATGTTCGAGGCTTAGATCGGGAAGACCATAGAGGTCTATGTAAATGATATGTTGGTGAAGAGTATGACTGTGGCATACCATGTGATGCATCTCCAGGAGACCTTTGATGTACTGAGAGCCTACATGATGAAGCTGAATCCTAAAAAGTGAGCCTTTGACATTAGTTCAGGAAAATTCTTAGGCTTTATGGTCAACAAAAGGGGCATTAACGCCAACCTATATAAGATTAGAGCTATCTTGGAGATGAAGTCCCCTGCCTCAGTGAAGAAGGTCTAGCACCTTAATGGGAGGATATCAGCCC